TATGTGACGTCATTTTAGTGTCTACTGACTGACTGACAGACAACACACTACCGTATAGTGGTGTCAATGATTAAAACATGTGACTCCTTCAGGCGGCCGTCAATCCCCTTTCGGTAAAGTAATATCAAAACAATTGTGTTAACTTGGGCGTTAAACCAAATATCCAAAGAAAAACAGTTAATGCGGCACTTTTGGATAAAAAAATAAAACCATCAAGTCATATTTCACAGTTCCAATTTTGCATTTGTTCTCTGTCTTGACTAATCTACTTTACTCTTACAACTTTCTGCAAAATACGCAACTTTCTTTGACGTATTACTAATAAACAACTTGATACACTGCAACACCAACGTACCATAACCAGTACCGTCTCCTTCAACAGGTTTTAGTAGCATCTAAAATATCTAGCTATAAAATCATCATTTTTTTTTGATAACTGTAAAATGCGCGTCCAGCATGATATCAGTAGCATCCTCCTCGGTACCGAGGAAATGAGCTTTGTCGTGGAGTCATGCCAACTCGCATTCCTGATGTCAAGTTCTGGCGGCAAGATTACTTACGAAGCAACCACAAGTTTCCCCTCTCAGCCACTAACGTTCTACCCAGGTAGTCTTCAATGTCTGAAGCCTTGCTAAGTAAACAATATTCTGGTTTGTGAAGCCCTCTATTGTCAAGTTCTTGTATACGTATGAAGAGAAAAGCGTCAGGTCGATAATACCGCAACAGTTTAGAAAAATTGATCCCAAGTGGCTTTCTGTGTAAAACTAATGTATTATAATACATTATTTGCAGAGTACTTGGAATGATTAATCGTATATTAATATATTTGCTCCAAATATACTATTATGGTCTCCATAATATGTGTAAATATATATATATATATATATATATATTATACGCGCGTGTTTGTATTATCCACAGGTAGTATTTGTTATTGAACTAGTGTATAATTTAACGATATAATTAATGGTAATGCACAGACTTGTACAGGATGATTAATGGTAATGCACAGACTTGTACAGAACGAAATTAACACACAATATTATACTAGTTACTGGGCACTTCTAACCCTGTAACAGTGAACGGCAGGCGTTTGGTTATATTATTTACAGTTCAGTGTAACTATGGATCTATATCCTCATTGTTTTATATGCTACAAAAATAACAGCTGATTATATAAGAAATAAAACTGAAGTAACACCTTATACATGGTTTTAGCTATATAGCTTCGGTGAAGTAATGACTGGATATCCGTTCAATGTTCCAAATTAAAATTAACTCGAGGAAAAAGTTTCATAACACATACACAGTTATTACATTTCATAGCTCACAAAGCTTAGCTAAGTAAACTAAACATCAAACAATGCTGAAATTTAATGCACTGAATGTCCTTTGTTTATAAATCAAAGACTAACTAAAAGAATCCCAGTATATATTTCATTATCCTCCGTTCGTGATTTCAACTTGAGATCAGAAACACTTCCGAAGACAAATAGGGCACCAAAGCTTGTGCAAACTAGGCCTTCCACACGGCTTGAGCGTTTGTCTGGTGGTTAGTGTAACGGACGTGGCATCCAAGATATGATGTTATCAAACATGATTTGCACTTTCAGGTGCGTTATAAAAGTGTCAACTTTGCTACTTGGTTACGAGTAGCCGCTTCAGGCGGTGGGTATTTCCAACTGTTTGCCTTCCCTCTGTTTAGCAGTTGAAAATTATGGATGGCTACGCACGAAGCACAAAAGTCTCTGTCATTCAAGACAATCCCTCAATCCCATAGCTCCATGGCTAATAATAGTAAAGGATCATGTACAGTCTGTCCTTGTCTTATTTCAAATTATAAAAACGTATGAGTGAAAGTAAGGAAGAATGTATAACAATATGTTAATCACACTATATTTGCTTTATTCAGTGCTGACGAGGCCTTTTGCCAAATGCCAGGGCTCATAAGACTGGTTAGGATACGACAGACACAGTAGTAGTTGTTATAAATATGTATGAACAACAACTGTTATGGTATGGACAAATTATGTTGTTCAAGTGTAATGTTTTATCATTTTTATATGAATCAGAATTAGGGTAAGGGTTAATAACACAATATCATTTAATTATTTTAACACCAATTATTTATTATCATTTGTTTTGCCCCCAAGTGGCACAGCGGTATGTTTGCGGACTTACAACGCTAGAATCCGGGTTTCGATACCCGTGGTGGGCAGAGCACAGATAGCCCATTGTGTAGCTTTGTGCTTAATTACAAACAATCATTTGTTTTTACCTCAGTTAACTTTACTCGTCATTCAGAAAATTGATAACATGATTAAACATCTAGAAACGTGTATCATCTGTTCAAACCTTCAAGTAAAGGCTGATTATTAGTATATAAATTCAGGATTTTCTTCAATATACATATATAGGTTAGCCTTGTGTTAGATTTCTGGATTTCAGAGCTGGCGAGCCAGCTAATTCTGAATCCGTGCGATACTACGAACTATTCCTGCGCATAAGCTGTTGGTGCATTATCAGAGTGAAAATCAATGTGTGGATGGTGGTGTAAGTGCTTTCCCTCTCATCACTAGCTCAAAATCAGGGAGGGACGAGTCAGATATTATTAGTAGCTTTGCAAAAATACAAGTATTTACAAATATACAATTTCTATTCTATCTACACCATCATGTAAAGCCTGGTGAACACACACATAAATGTATATATATATATATATATATATCCAGAATTTTGTCTCATTTCCCAAAACAACAAGAATAAGCAGGTAACGGTATAAATTTTGTATACGCCTCAATATAAAAGCTGATAACGATTTACAATTAAAGAGTGTATGCTCTCTTTTGTCTACACCTCAATGAACAAACTGATAACTAAAAATATATCTATGATCATGTCTCACCTTACCACACTTCAATAAACAGAATGATGACAAATATATCAATAATTGTCTCTCACCTAACCACATCTTAAGAAACAAACTGATAACGGGAAATATATCTATAATCATGTCTCACCTTACCACACCTCAATAAACAGAATGATGACAAATATATCTATGATCGTGTTTCAACTTATCGTACCTCAATAAATAAATTGATGATGATCATGCCTCATCTTACCACACATTAGTGAACATACTGATAACGGGAAATATATCTATAATCGTATCTCATCGAAACACACCTCAATAAACAGACTGATGACAAGTATATCAATAATTGTGTCTCACCTAACCACACATCAATAAACAAACTGCTTAATTTGGCTGCAAGTGGCGAGTAAAAATATTAATTATAAAATCCTTATTTTCAAAAGCTAAATTAATCTAAGAACATGTTTATTTCATAGATGAGTCAGTCAGTCAGAGAGTAAGTTTTAAATGTATAGCTCACTATACGCAAGATTTATGTCCATGCCTTTCACCTAGAAGATCTTATCGATTATAGGTTTCGGATAGCCAATGGAGTAATTTGAGTAATATGTAATTCTGAACACTTGACAAGACTTACGACAGCTTTCAGTATGGTACGGAAAGCCAAATATATAACCCTTTTTCCCCCTTGAACGTTGTTCATTAAACTGTGCAGCAACAAAATCTCTTATCAGTCACATGACAAGTCGTGCTTGTATATTAATATGCATAATCCTAACACATACAGTAATATTTTAGTTTTATTGTATGCAAGAATAATGTTGTAGAGACTCACAAACACGTATGAAATAGAAATTTATAAATTATAAACACAAAATATTAGCGTAAAATAATTCTGTTGTGTTGCCGTTCCCAAATCCTGTGAAACGTGATTGTCCTATTTTTTTTTTTTTTGCTTGAACTGTTTTATGTTTCCGGTGGAAATGAGCATGATGTACCAGTATTCATTATTAATTAGTTTAGTACAAATATACTTCGTCAGGGTCCTGTTCCGTTAACAGAATTAAACTACGAACTGAAAATTCGACATTTTATGGCCGTATTCTGATCGCTTAGCTATTATCAATATCTTAAGAAGACTATTAGGATTCCATTTCCCGTTGAACGTGAAGAGACCTGGCTGAAATAAACCTTACTCACTTCAGTTATTTTTCCAACCAGTAGTTCATAAATTACAAAACGATACCACGCTAAAGGAAATATTCCATGTCTATCAAACTTAGTGCGCTTATAGTTTTAGTGTTTAGTATTATTACTCATAGAGATTTCGTGCTAGTCAATAAGCTAAACTGTGTTCTTTGTGATAACATAGTTAGGTTGTGTACACAGATCTTTCCAAGTGCAACTGCATCATAAACATTTCCATGGGTTTGGATAACGGTTTTGTAACACCTTTTTTCCATACGTCATATTACAAACATAAGTAGTACAGTGCGCTTAACTGGTATTGTTACTAAGCAGTTTCACGAGAAATCACGGCCGCATGAAGACTGACCAACAGCGATTAACACTTCTGTAGCCGTTGTAAATCGAGGCTCACTGCTCTGCTATTTGTCGTCTAAATTACCGATCCCAAGTAAGTTCGATTGTGCATGGTTTTTGTTGAGACATTCTCAAACTTTTATATTTTTTTATTTAACTGTAAATTTGGACATTATAGATTCCGCGAATGCCAAATTAATCCAAGCATTATAAAGAGTGCGAACTTCCAAGATTCACACAAATTATTACTTGTAAGTTGTATATTTCGATCGGTAAGACTTAATCACTATCACTCGCGGCATGGCATGAATACATGTTGGTTAGTTGCCTTCTGTGACTGGCAGTTGACTAACTTCACGCTTAAAACGTCTACACAAAGCTCTACATAGACTGGTTTGTTAAGAACTTTTAAGCTACGCTGAGTGCGAGCCGCGCGTCACTCATCCCAACCGTCGACGGTGTGCACACATCATTTGGCATGACCGACCGCGCTACTTCAGGGACGGGCGCATCATGTAAACAGTGAAAACGCTGCGAATACTGTATATGACTATATATTAAATATCATGATCTTTCTTACCGTACTTTCCTCCACATCCGATTCATTGTGGTCCATTTTTGAAATGGGAAGCGGTGCTTTGTTTTTGACACGAATTTTGACTGTCTTGATTAACACAATCTAAGAAAAAAATATGTACTCAAGTTCCGCCCGTAGCGGTTTGCTCTGCTGCTTCGTACATCAAACTCACACGGCAGGGTATGTTACGTCTCCCAGAATGCATTGCGAAAAACAGCCTATCAAACCTCTGCGGGAATATGATATCACTAGCCTCATCCAACTTCTTCAATTATAATTGGCTGATTTAACCCCGACTGTCCTCGAATCACAGAATCGTTTTAAGATCTTATTATAATACTCAATTTTATTTCAAATGTCGAGCGTACAGATTTGTATTAAGTGTAATGTTTATTACTTCATAAACATATCGTTCAATATATATCCTAAAGTTACATTAAAATAGATTAAAGGCTAATTTTTCTGTCAGTAAAATGAAAAACATGTTTTTGTTTAAATGTTACATTTATTTCGTTTCAACTTGTTTATATATATATATGTGTGTGTGTGTATACCGTATTTTTCGATGTATAAGACGCTACTTTTTTACTCCAAAATTTGATGTTAAAATCTGCTTGCGTCCTGTACACCGAAGGTATGAAGAATATATATATATATAC